GCAAGTGTTCTGTGTCAGTCGGGCCACACACGTGCGTACACATCAGGGCAGGAGAACGACTAACACACAGGTAGAGCCACACTCACTATTCATTACAGTCAGTCCAACACCGCACACACACTTCAGCAAAGAAACACAGCCACACACACACCAATACACACACAGGGGCACCAGCAGTGTGCCGGCAGATCAGCTACACTTAAGATGTCAAGGCAGGACAGACGCACAGGCAGACACACAGACAGACATCCAAACACGGCACATCACATGCACCACACCAGACAGCACACCGACACATGGACAGGCTCACCACAGACACACGGGCACACACATGCAGTCACGTCAGCCACACACAGGCAGGCAGGCAGGCAGGCCATGTCGACACATTCCAAATCACAGTATGTAACAACACCATCCATAAATCACGAGAGAGAACAGGCCAACACACACGCAGTGTGCGCAGCAGTGCAGACAGCCAGCCAGACCAGAAGTCGTTACTACCAGAGAGAGGCTAGTTCCGTTGCGCACATACAGCCACACACATACAGGCAGCCACACGCGCCAGCAGCCGTGGGCGGCACCTACTCCTCTGTAGGCGCCTCCGTCGTGGTCGGGAAATCCGTCGTCGTCGGAGCCTCCGTGGGGGTCCATTTGCAGTCGACGCACGTGACGGCGGTCAGTGCGTTGAGCTGGCCCCCCGTCACGCACAGGCCCTCGAGCGAGTCCATCTTCTCGGAAGTCGACAGAATGCGATGCTTGATGTCGCGAAAGCTCTGCGTCGGGTCCATCGACCACAGAAGGGCAGCCAAACCTGAAGTCACAGAGAAACAAACAGTCGATTGGAATGCCTAACTGGGGACATCACATAGCATCCCTCAGTGCTTCCATGCCTACCAGCCACGAAGGGCGTTGCCATGCTGGTGCCCCGCATTGCCTCATACTTGCCACCCGGCACCGTCGAGGCGATTTTCGTCCCCGGCGCAAAGACGTCGACACTCCTGAGGCCGTAATTGCTGAAGGACGCCTTCTCGCCGTCCTCATTCGTCGCGCCGACGCTGATGATACTGTCCAGCTCATACGATGAGGGGTAGTGTTTCATGTCGCCGTCATTGTCGTTGTCGGTGTTGCCAGCTGCGGCGACGAACAGCATGTTGGCCTCCTCTGCCTTCCTGATAGCCGCCTCGAGCGCCCTGTTTGGAGCAGAGCGGACCATTCCCCCCCAGCCGTTGCTTGTGAGGGTGGCCCCCATGGCAACCGCATAGTTGATCGCCTGGATGGCGTCAGAAGTAGAACCTCGACCACCCTGATGAAAAGGCACAGGCATGTGATTTAAGTGCTCGGCAACCCTCCATTTGCTCGACTTACGCAGAGGAATTTGAGTGCCATGATCGTTGTTCTGCCAAAGGCGACACCTGCGATGCCTGCGATGCCCTCTTGGTTGTTGGCGGTGGCCGCTATGACAGACAGACAGACAGACAGACAGATGTTTATGCAATGTGTGTGCAGAGATGGCAGCATGCTTATTCATTCACTCACCGATCGTTCCAGCAGAGTGGGTGCCTGTGCGGCCATCCTTCTCCATAGGATCGCCGTCACCCGTTGGCGGGCTGCTTGATCCGTCGCACCAAGCCCAGCCGTGAATGTCATCAATGAAGCCGTTACCTGCACACAGACACATACAGACGCAGGAATGCATGCAGATCGTGTGTGTGTGGATGTCCCTCCCTGTTGCCTCCCTCCCTCCCATCACCCCTCCCTCCCTACCGTCGTCATCGATGCCGTTGCCAGCGATCTCGCCTTGATTGACCCACATGGCGTCCTTGAGGTCCGGGTGATTGTAGTCGACACCGCCGTCAATCACCCCGACCACCGTAGTACCATTGCCCACTGAGTCGGCCCCACTGTCCGTCTCCTGCTGCTGCTCAGACAGGAAGGCCCACGCCTCGGGCATATCGATGCTGGCCATCCCCCACTGCTCCTCAAAGACTGGGTCGTTGGGCAGCCATCGGTCCTGTGCTGCCGCGGGGCGCTGTAGCCTGCGAACAGAAGTCGGCGCAACAAGGGCATCCGGCTCGCAGACGTCGATCTCATCCGACGCCAGGAGGGCGGCCTCGCATGTGGCCGCTGCATCGACACCTGGCGGCAGATCCACCACGTCCATGGCCAAGCTGTTGAGGTGGTGGATTGTCGTCTCAGCCGTGTACACGGTGGTCTCGGCTGACAGGGCGGCCTGCAGTGCCCTCGAGATGCCTCCCGCTCGAACGAGGCCGTCGGTGTGTGCTGACTTGAGCTTCACGATGATGCGGTTGGTGCCGGTTGCCGCTGGACGCGATGGCGGACTGCTGAGGGCACGGACAGTCCCAGCTCCATCACCACTCACCAGGCTGAATGTGCTGTAGGACACCACAGGGGTCTTGTTTGCAGAGCACTGACTGGCCACCAGGGACAGGGCGACCAGCAGAGTCCACACGATTCCCGCAAGCTGAGCCATTGCCTGCCGACGATAGATAACAGGACGATAGAGAGCGATGATCAAGTCGTCGAGGAAGGATCAAGGTGACGATGCGAAGAGAGGGCGAGGGAAGTGGGAAGTAGGTAGACTGGAAGGTGGAAAGTGAAGATCTGCACAGATCTGGTATGGGACAGGTCAGGAGGGAGGGATGGATGGGGAGGGAGGGAGGGAGGGAGGGAGGGAGAGGAGGGATAGACTCCATAGGTTTCGCGCCATGGGTTAGGAATGTACGCGGCACTTTTAATTGAACTGGGCTAATGCACAAAGCTTCCGCTCGCCTTATCTCGCTGCGGGGAGAAGGAGAGATGGGGAGGAGGGAGGGAAGGAGAGAGACCCCAGAGAGACCCCAGCGTTTGCACCGGTCTGCATCAACCACAGATCTTCACCTCCCGCCTTCTCGCCTTCTACTTCGCCTTCTCAGCGACTCCTGTCTGTTTCGCTGCACCCAAAGCATCACCACTCTCGATTGTCTGTTATCATCCATGGCTCTCTTCTCCCGCCTGACGCTCTTCGTCCTCGCCGCTCTGCTGGTGGCGACCAGCATGGCCCAGGAGTGCGTGACGGACTCCGACTGCCCGTCTGGCGAGGTCTGCTACACGGATGATTCGGACGACAGGTGGTGCAAGACAGAGGATGACTGGAACACAGCCGGTACGCAACTGCTCACGCCCTGAGCGGCATGCATCCCTATCTCTCTTTGTGCTGTTATGTGGCGTACAGGGTTGCTGTTATTGCTGGTGTTGGCGTATCTAGCGCACTACTGGTGGGTGGTGGTTCTTGTGCTTTGTGCTGTTGTTGCGTTGATTATTGTGTGTTGCTGCGGACGGTAGCGCTCGCCAAGAGTGCAAACCATGCCAATGTGAGCGAGCCAAAGGAATGGCTGAACAAACAAAGCCATCAAGGTTCCTTGGGGTGTGTGTTGTGTTGTGTTGTGTTCAGGTACGTGTCGTCTCAGCCAGCCCCAATGCCCGCCGTTCCTTCGTTCCACCCCACACCCTGCCTGCAGTTCACTCAGTACCCGTCTGCCCGCCTGGGATGTGTCGTGTGCTGTGCTGTGCTGTGCTGGGTGTGCGTCACTGTTCTTTCATTAAGCGTGTTGGTAAATAGATACGTGTGCGCGCGTGTGTGTGTGTGTGTGATGCGTCTGCACTGCATCGTCCTGCCCTTGGCCTGTTGTGGGTCTGTACTGAGTCTCTGTTCATCGCAGAGATGAGACTGAATCGTCCGGATGGGTGTAGTCGACACCGGTGTCAATCACCCCGACCACCGTACCTTTGCCCACTGAGTCGGCCCCACTGGCCGTCTCGTGCTGCTGCTCAGACAGGAAGGCCCACGCCTCGGGCATATCGATGCTGGCCATCCCCCACTGCTCCTTGAAGATTGGGTCGTCGGGCACGAAGCGGTTGGGCTCCTGTGCTGCCCGGGCGCGCAGCCTGCGGCCAGAGGCCGTCGTCACAACGGCATCCGGCTCGCAGATGTCGATCTCATCCGACGCCAGGAGGGCGGCCTCGCATGTGGCCGCTGCATCGACACCTGGCGGCAGATCCACCACGTCCATGGACAAGCTGTTGAGGTGGTGGACCGTCGTCTCAGCCGTGTGCACGTTGGTCTCGGCTGACAGAGAGGCCTGCAGTGCCCTCGAGATGGTCTCTGCGCGGGCAAAGCCCTCGGTGTGTGGGTGCTTGAGCTTGACGATGATGCGGTGGATGCCAGCTGCAGCAGCAGGACGCGTTGGCGGACTGGTGAGGGCACGGACACTCGGCTGGTCGTGTGCAGCTCCATCACTCAACAGGCTGAATGTGCTGTAGGAAACCACGGGTGTCTTGCTTGAGGGCTGACTGGCCACCAGGGACAGGGCGACCAGCAGAGTCCACACGATTCCCGCAGGCTGACCCATTGCCTGCCGACGATAGATAACAGGACGATAGAGAGCGATGATCAAGTCGTCGGTGAAGGATGAAGGTGATGATGCGAAGAGAGAGGGCGAGGCAAGAGTAGATCACTCGGAAGGTTCGAAGCGGAAAGTGAAGATCTGAGACGATATCTGCGAGATAGAGGGAGAGAGAGAGAGAGGAATGGGTGGATGAATGGATGGACGGAAGGGAGGGAGGGATGAGGAGTTAGAGCAGGGAGAGGGAGGAATCCATGAAACCGCCGGAGGGATGGAGGCATCTCCTCATTCCCACCACCATCAGCACTGTTCAACCGCAGATCTTCACCTCCCGCCTTTTCTTCTTCTCCCGACTCGCTCCCTCTGTCATCTCCGCTGCACCCAAGAGCATCAACCACTCAACCACTCTCGATTGTCTGTCATCGTCCATGGCTCTGTTCTCGCGCCTGACGCTCTTCGTGACCCTCGCCGCTCTGCTGATGGCGACCAGCATGGCCCAGGAGTGCGTGACGGACTCTGACTGCTCGGATGATGACTTCCCCTACTGCGTGAAGTTTGATGATGGAGAAAGGCGGTGCCAACATGTGGACTGTGCACATCCGACGATTTGGGGGTGTTCGGATGACGACGATGACGACGATACCAACTGTAACCACATGAAGACAGAGAGCTTACTGGGCGTCAGTCAGTCATCCCTATTCCTCCCTCCTGTTCTGCTGTGTGGCGTGTCAGGGTGGTTAATTGCCATCATAGTGCTGGTAATTGTTCTTCCGGTTTGTGGCGTTGTTGCGTTGATTATTGCGTGTTGCACATGTTGGGCGGCGCGGAAGCCCGCGCCGAGAGTGGTGATGATACAACCAAGGCCAATGTGAGACAGCAAAACGAACAAACAGGGCACACTGCAACACGCATCCATCATCGTGTGTGCCGCCATCAACTGTGTCGTTCGTTGGTGTGTGTGTTTTGTTTTCAGGTACGTGCCCTCCCAGCCAGCTCCAACTCCCGCCTGTGTGTAGGCCCGGCTACCACTGCAAGCACGGGAAATGTAAGTGTGGCAGTTCCACAGGCAGACAGACACACACGCGTGCCCATCGTCAGTTCACATGCCCTCTCTCCGTGTCATGTGTGCTGCGTTCAGGCTTGCTTCTCCAGACTGCATTCGTCTGTCTGTCTGCCTGTGATTATGTGTCCGTCACTGGTCTTTCATCAAGTGTGTCGACAGATGCGAGTCCATGTGTGTGTGCGTGTGTACAGAACTGATCTGCCTTGCTGTGCGTATGCGTGTATATGTGATGCGTCTGCACTGGATATATAGTCCGACTGGCGTGCGGCGCCCTGCCCTTTGGCTGTGTGACATGTGGTGGTTTACTCGTGT